AGGCCAGGTCACCGGCCCACAGTCTGCTTCATGGCGGTCCCTCCAGTGAGGCCACGGAAGCAGGGAGGGAATGCTGAGACCCCAGAGGGGCCAGACCCGGGGGGAGCACAGGAGGAAAGGAAGTCTCCAGGCAGGTGGAGCGGGTTTGTGGCCGCAGAGCTGGGCATGAAGCCAGAGCATGGCCGGCAGCAGGTCAGAGAAAACAGGCCTCGCACACAAGTTCCCCAGACACCCTGCAGAGGGGACACCCACCCGGCATGCCTTTGTTCAGGGTTTGAGCCCATGTGGGGCATTTCCTCACACCCCTCCGGCCACCCCATGGGGCAGGCAGAGCACGGATCTGGGAGTCTGGAAACGGTGGCTCCAGTTCTCTCTGCCCTTGTGAGCAGAGGGACCTTGTGAGTCTTCCCGAGGCCTCGTTTCCGCCTGAAACATGGGGCGTCCCCTTCACAAGGTTACTGTGAAGACTGAACCGGACCCAAAGGCGGCCACTGCAAACCTCAGCTGGCCCCAGCGCCCTGCCTGGGTGGATCAACGACCTGCCGCTGGGGACATCCAGCTCTAGAGTGCCACCAGGAGGCCACACTCCCGGGGCAGGCAGTGGCATTCAGCTGCTGGGTGAGGGGTAGGCCGAGAAGGCCCGGCTGGAGAGCAAGGGGAAGCTTCAGCAGAAAGCCAAAGCACGAGACAGGTGTCAGGAGAGCTACAGCGGTGGAGCACCTACCCCGGGCTGGCGTGTGGCCTGCCCAAGTTACTGCAGGGTCTCTCCATGTGACAGGGCAGAGGCAGAGGCCCCTCCTCCCAGGCACACAAAAGCACACACGATGTCCCTTTCACAATTAGTTCTCCAGGTCGGGGGCTTTGCCCCATTTTACAGAAGGGAACACTGAGCCCGAGAGCTGTGCAACGCACCATGTGCCGAGGCTGAGGCTGTTTCTGGAGTGGGTGGCAAGTGGCGGACGGGGGCGTGGGACACTGGGGACTCACCGACCACCATGATGTTGAACTCGAAGCCCTGCTTCATGGCCTTCCTGCGCATCTGCTCCAGGATGGAGTCGATCCCCACATAGCCGAAGTCCACGGGGGCCCTCTCATTTCGCGGCGCGGGCGCCTGCTTGAGCCCAGCGTCTCTGGGGGTGTCGGCCATGTCTCCAGTGCAGCTAGGAGCTGCCTCCGTGGCTGTGAAGGAAGAGCAGAGTTAGGAGTGACCGGGGTTCACACACCAGCAGGCGTCCCCAAGCACATGCATATCAGGTGGCTCCGACCATGACGCCCCTGCTTGCATGGGGAAACTGAGACAGAGAAGTGAATGAACCTGCCCAAGAGACCCCAGCAGAAAGCCCCGAGGTGAAGCCCCTCACCACAGTGAGGCCATCTACAAGGCCACTGTCCTGTAGCCCCTCTGCTTTACCCACAAATCCCCACCCCCTCTCTACATTAGGCGTGCCTTTTAAATCTCCTTCTCTACCAGCTGTGCCAACCTGGTGCCCCTCCCTTGGCTCCAGGGCAGGGCTGACCCCTGAACCCTCCTCCTCCTTCATCACCGAGCTGCCACCTGGAAAGCTGCCAGTCGAGGGCAGTGAGCACTTTTAGCCCCGGCCTCCACTCAGCCTGCAGCACCTGCTGCAGCTCAAGGCCTTGGCGCCCCTTGCGGTCCAATGGCCGAACAGTGAGCAGGGACATCAGGGACAGTCTCATACCTGCCTTCTGAAGAAAAGAGGATTAGAACCAGCAGAGTTCTGCCTGCCACGCCCTAATCAAGCTGCGTGGTCAATTCCACGCAACCCACCAACAGTCCCGGGGGCAGGCAGGAGTGCTTGGGTGGGCAGTGGGGTGCCTGGGTGCAGAGCTGTCCCCAGGGGCGTGGCAGGCGGGGGAGTGCCCAGCGCTGCCGCCGCCCTCCCCTCCAGACCAAGCCAGGTGACGGTCTTTTGGCTGACTGTCCAACACCCGTGCACCCCACGCTCACAGGCAAGGACCAGGTTTCGCTTTCAGGTCTGCGGACAGGCTGAACTTCCTAAAATAACTCAAGCTTTTGGGTCTGTAGTCAGAGCAAGAGCCTTCCTGCTTTCTACGGCCCCTCCCTCGCTGCCCTTACGAGCCCACACACCCCGGTCAGAGGCCTAGGGTGGGAAGAGGACACCCAGAAAGCACCCACCAGACACACAGAGGTGCTCCCACCCGGCGGGGGTGCTCGGGGCACCCAGGAGGGTGTGGGTTCCCACCAGGGTCTGGATGGAACACACACAACCCCGTGTCTCAGTGTTCCCCAGACACACCACATTCACAGGTGAAGGCACCAGACACATGCCCTGACCACAGAGGTGGCCCCTCGGCTCCCCACAGCAGGCCCCGGCTCTTCTAGCCCCGCCGGGGAGGACTTTCTGCTCTACCCGACCTCCCGGGGAGGATCCAGCCCCCTGAGTCTCTCTGCCTGGTGCACTCTGAGCTCACAGGAGCAGACCACACAGCGTGTTCTGATGGCTGCTCCTGGCCCCGCAGGCCCCCTCCTGCCAACCCTTGGTGGCTGGTTCCTCGGGTTGGGCTGGAGGAGGCGTCTTCCTGCCACAGGGCACACAACAGGGGCACCTATGGGAACAGAGTCAGCTCTATCAGTCAGGGATGTGGTACAGAAGGTGGGGTGGGGGGAAGGCTCCTCAAACCTGCCCAGCCCGGGGCCTCCTACCCTAACTCTGTCCTGGGCCAGAAGGGTCCTGCTCCTCCACTGCCTGGGGAAAGACCAAGCTCGGGAAGCGCAGGGCGGCTTGGCTCACCTGGCTAAGCCCCCAGGTCGGGTCCCCCACGGGCTCCAGCCTCTGCAGCCCTGCAGCCCGGCTCCTGTCACCCTTGATGCTATTTTGCTGGCCGGAGAGAGACCCACGGACAGCACCGTCTCCTCCCCTCACCTCCCAGGTCAGTTGCAGAAAGTGGGGTGTGGGGGGTTCATCCCCAAGAGCAGCGTGATTCCTGGATCAGTGACTTCCCTGTTTTCTCAGCCTCTTCGGGGCACCATAATTCCTCCTTCACGGAATTGGAGGAAGAACAAACAATACAATGTGTATAAAAATGGCAGGAACGGCCAGGAGGGCCCACGCATCACTCATCACAGTAACAGAAGGCAGAGCCACTCGAGGCCACCCCGGCGCCCGCTGTCCGCCCCCAGCGCAGCCGGGAAACGCAGCCCTGCGTGGCTTCGAGGCATTCGCTCCGCTCCCTCTTCAGAAATACTCTCCCCGGGGTTTCCAGCATCTTTAAATAAACAAAGACACAGCGCTGCATCTGGCCCTGGAACACGTGGCTTTGGGCCGCTTCCTGGAGACAGGCGTGGGGCCCTGCCTTGCGGGGCACAGCAGTTCAGCCCAGACCACGTGACCGAAAATTGCTTCCATCTGTCTGTGGGCCTAGGAGCCATTTTACCCAGCCCTGGGGCGGGCGCCACCCCCACCCTCCTCCAGGATCCCTCACCCCTTCCCGAGCAGGACCCGGGGGAGGTGCTGCACCCTGGACTCTCCCTCACCACCCCCGATGGGCCCTGGGATCCCAGAGCGAGGGAGGG